TTTCCATGACATAACCACTTCCCTTGATCCAGAAAAAATTCCTGTGCTCCGTTGACCCCATGGAGTATTTTTCTAGACTTCACAAATGAGGTCAAGTCCCAATTTATACAGCAAAAGGCCAGAAGAAGATTCTCCAAAGGGAACTGGTATAATCTTATTTTGAGAAGAATGCTACAGATTATTTTCAGCAGTTCCTATTTAACTGCCTAAGCATTTACTGAATTTTGATGCAGCTGTGATTCATATACAAGAGGCCTATGGTTCTCTACCCCTATTCTCTGTGCTCCTATAGTCATATGGTAGCTACTGAGATAAAACAGCTCAGTAGGTTTAAAACAAAAGGATACCTCTACAAAGTGGTCTCAAATCTTTAAATGGATCAAGTGCCTTACTAATTTATGTCTACCCTCCCTCTTAAGAGACAGGTGGTTTCAATTAGTCATGTTGCTTTGGAGTTTCACTGCTCCTGGTATGTTTAACTGATAAAACTATTTGGCTATTTCTGAATCTGGATTTATAAGAGAAAGTTATTATATGGATGGCTTCAGGATACTAGATAGGTGATCTCTGATGTTTAGCTTAAATTCTAATTTGCCTACGCAGTAATACTCTTGAAACAAACTGGAAAACACATTTCAACATGGAACACAGCTTGGCAAAGGATAAATGTTTTTCGCTAAAAAAGTCTGAAGGTCTCATAGTCTTAAATTTAAAAAATGATGAGTGTTACATCATTTGGTTTACTTTCAAGATCCTCTGAGGCACATTTGGGTTGCAGTATGGTCAAATGGCAAGAGTTCATAAGCTTATGAACCACAGGAATAATTTGCAGTTGGTATATTTTAAGGTTAAGTTCTTATTACCTATTGGTATATTTTTACAATGCCCAATGTGGACTTTTAGCTCATTTATACTTATTTTACTCTCACTAATGACTAGAGAAACAGAAAGGTATGCATTATCTTTCTTCTTTTTCTAATACAAACAACCCCTTCCTTTCTAATGCTTTCTTAATAAAGCTATCTTCAATGTATCTACTACTTTTAAGTTTTTTTAAATTATAAATATTTTTTTTTAGATTTTATTTATTTATTCATGAGAGACATAGAGAGAGAGGTAGAGACACAGGCAGAGGGAGAAGCAGGCTCCATGCAGGGAGCCCGACATTTTGACCTTTTTGATTTGCAAAAACCCTTATTTATTTTCCCTTAATCAATGCTGGGTGGTGGGGGCAGGGAATACAGATAAAGCTGATATTCATGATATCTATTTTATACATTAGAAAGTTATATAGGCAAAGCAAATAAATAACTCTTCGGAGGTTAACTATTTAATATCCATTCTTCCCTTCTTCCTCCCTGATTCTATTTGAAATAACAATATACTTAGCAAAAAAAAAAAAAAAAGCACTGTTTTTTTTCACTCTCTTTTTTTCTAGATAGCCCTGTGACACAGTTCTGGACACTGAGATATGAACTGAAGTCTCCTAGAGGCTTTTGGGAAAGTTTTTGCTTCACTGATACAGGTGTCCCTCCTTCCCGCCGCTACCATCTTCTTGTCTGGAAGATAGATGTGATGGCCATAACCATAGCCTCTTCGAACCAAGAGGAAAGGGCAAAGAAAATTTTAAGGAGAATTGACATCCTGAATTAATAACAGTAACTGCCTACTTCTAGATTTCTTCCACAAGAGAAAAATACAGCTTTATGTGACTGTAATCAAGAGGTCTTTATTCACAGACAAATGCAATTGTTCACCTTTAGAGTAGGAACTTGAATTTAGGTTTTCTTCCAGTTCTATCATCTTTCCATTGTTGTAGATTATACTGCCTGGTAATCCTAGGCTATCTTTAACTTGTTATTTCTAGCACTCATGAGACATAGCACTCAATATCAAGTCCTACAGCATGAAAACAAGGGTAGTATCACATCTTGAATTTTAATTGGTTACCTCTATAGCTCGAAGCTAAAAAGCAAAGTAATGAAAAGCTGTTTTTGACATTCCCTCCCCCCCCCCCACACACATTTTCAATGAGCTTCTCTGGACCCGTGGCACTTATGTCCTTTGGAATGTACTACTCAAATCCTATCGAGACCTGCCCTTTCCTTAGGGTTTTAAGCTCTCAGTTATACTTTCTTCTGCCTTTCCACCATTAATCAAAGCTGATAGGATGAGGAGAGAAATGAAGAATTATTGTCACTGAAATAATTTATGGGGATATAAAAATTATTTTAGGAGGGTATCTGCAAGATGATTTATAAATCCAATTGAACCTCTAGGTTTGGAAAGCACTGAAGAGTCATTTGTGAGGGGTTTCACTCCTACTCATCTAATCTAAGCAGCTACTCTTCTCTTTAGTTTAGCCCCTTTGGACATTCCCACTGACCCCTTTAACCCCCAGCCAGCACAGGGGGCAACACACATAAAGCAGGGATTTGCTGCTTATTGTTAAGACCTGCCAAGTCCTAGAATTAGAAGAGTACTAGAAACAGGGAAAGGAAGGAATGTACTTTTGCTAATTCTGTACATTAAAAAATATGCTTAGTAGATATTTTAACTATGTAATACAAATTGGATAATTAAAAGTTTTTAAAGTATGGCTGGCATTCTGTGAACCCTTTAATATATATTCTTCCTTGTAACTTCCTCTTTTCTCATCTGCTGTCATGTTACTTGCTGTTAAAAAGCCTACTTCCTCTTTCAGATCATTCTATCATAGTCTTTATATTCCTTCCATGAGAATATCAGTTCTGCAGTGCCTATCAAGCGGTTAAAAAACAAAAACAAAAACAAAAACAAACAAAAAAACCCAAAAAACCCCAAACCCAACAGAAACAAAAACAAAGTACACTTAAGCTAAAGATTTGGTTTCTAGCTTCAAATTTATGACTCTGGGTAAATGATCATAATGCTTGGGCAGAGCATTTACCATTCCTGCATCTTGGTTTTCTTAGCTGAAAATATAGTGAGGTAGATTCACCTTGGAAAGGTACTTTTTAGTTCGAAGATTCTATAATTTAAGCCCATTTTCATACATATGTTATTAATCTCTGCAACAATCTTGTGGGGAAGGAGAGTAACATTATCCTCATGTTGTAAATTTAGAAAAGAGAGGTAAAGGAAGCTTAATGATTTGTCTACTGGTGCAAAGCTGGCAGATAGCCATGCAAGGAACTAAACCCAGATATTAGCTTTTTTCTCTTCAGAGAAAGCTAGGCCACCATTTTCTGATACAAAAAGGAGAAAGGAGGTCAACTAGGTGAGATTTTTAGGCTCACCCTCAAATTCATAGAGAGAGGCAAGGAGTTTCACTCCCTTCAGACATGGGATTATAATTTGCAGATATATCATACTGTATCTAGATCACATCTGCTTTAGACCTTATAGTTGTTGAATCTCTTGAGGATAGAGGATCCTGCTATACAAGTTAAAAAAAAAGTTTATTAAAAATCATGTTTGCCTTTCTCTTCATAAAGGATGATAGTCAACGAATATTATTTATTTTATAATTTAACACTTGTGTTAATGCTGATATCTGTGAACTCTATATTTTGGGGGATAATGTAAATTCTAGAATCATTTCTGCATTCCTATTCTTGACATACATTTACATACTAACCAATAGAACATAAACATCTCTGAGTTTATATTATTATTCTATTAAACATGGAAAAATGGAATCTGAACACTAGCAATGACAATGATTTACTTTGCTAACAGCTCTATCTATTTTTACCAAGTTCCTCAGGGGACGTGGTAGTAGTTGGGTGAAAAGAACCACAGACTGGTAGTCAGAAGGTTTAGGGACTTGCACTGACTCACTCAGTGACCACATGCCTAATCAGGCGATCTCCCTCTCAGATGTCAGAATTTAGGAGTGTTTCCTAACTTCACTAACCTATAGGAAATGTTATGAATGTAAGTATAACTCTGGAAAAAATAAAAATAATCAGGAGGCAAAAAGCATGAGTCTTACCAAATTTAGTGTGAAGTACAACTATTATTTAAACTTTTTAAGATAATTTATATTCTGAATTTTATTTTTTTTAATTTTTATTTATTTATGATAGTCACAGAGAGAGAGAGAGAGAGAGAGAGAGAGAGAGGCAGAGACACAGGCAGAGGGAGAAGCAGGCTCCATGCACCGGGAGCCCGACGTGGGATTCGATCCCGGGTCTCCAGGATCGCGCCCTGGGCCAAAGGCAGGCGCTAAACCGCTGTGCCACCCAGGGATCCCTATATTCTGAATTTTAAATGAATTATTTCTAAATGTTATCTCCTCTCCTTTGGTAGGAAAATCACTCAATTTTATGGTGGGGAAAAGAGAAGAAAGAGAGGGCAACTTTGTCTTCTCTTCACCCCTATTTACTTCTGTAAGTCTGACGGTGCTCCTTCATAAAATCTAATGGAGTGTTATTTGAAGCGTTAGGGCAGTTACACAGTGAATGGAAGGAGAAATTCTTTATTTTGGGGGAAGAGCAAAGCCCCACATATTTTGCAATTCTGTTCAGAGTTCGCATCACTTCTTTATCTGTTCAACATTTGTTGGGTGCTGCACATTATGCTCAGCTCTGAGAATACAAAGACGAAGAAGATAAGGTGCCTGTACCTAAGGAAGTGCCAACAGATCAGAGGCATTAGATATTCAACAGATTATTACACGACAGCATTGGGAGTGTACTCCCTATGAGAGAGGTCAGCAAAGAGGTGCTGGGGGCATCTAGAAAAAGTTAAAGATGTGGTTTATCAGTTAACGTTGGTGGGCAGGAGAAGCAAGAAAAAGGTCGTTTTCCAGATACTGTAAGTTTTATAGTAATGGGTTTTAAAAAATGAATATTTAATCAAACTGAATTGTACACTTGGCAATGTGCCAGGCAGCAGTCAAGTCTAAAAAAGCACCAGTTTTTGAGTTGGAGAGACAGAATTACAACTCCATTTCTGTCTACAGGTGTGACCTTGGGCAAGTTGCCTGACTTCTCAAAATCTGTTTCTTTGTTTAGAAAATGGAGATTATAAAAGTATCCACACCTCATGGGGTTGTATGAAGATTAAGTGGGAGAATACACATAAGCACCTAGCCCACTCCTTGAAACCAGATAAGATGGTAAGTATTCAGTAAATATGAGTTATCAGTAAGTACTCTATATACATTTTCTCATTGAACTCTTGCAACAATCCAATGGATAGGCATTCCTAAAATAGGATACAGAACACAGAGATGCTAGGAAGATAGGTTCCAAACCATGAAAGATTATGTGTGCTATGATAAGGAGTCTGGAATATATGTAGCGGGCAATGGTAAATCTTTTGAGGGCTTTTAAGATAGAGCCAATGAGTTCTAAGTTTTTAGGAAGATCTTTGAGATGACAGTGTGGATTATGGGTTGGAAGGGCAGGAAGAAAAAAAAAAGGTTAGGAGTCCAATTAAGAATTCCTTATAGTAAGTCACTCTGAGTAATATGGGAAATCCTAAAAGCAACACTGTACACCTTTGGAAGGGATAGCTGGTATATACCCTGTGACTCCAGCTTCTACCTCCTCCTAGATCCTATAATGGCAAAAGCTTTAGGGCTTGCCTCAATGCTGATTTCTTTCAAGCTCTGAACTGCACCAGCACTGGTGGTCTTTCAGAGTCATTTTCTTTGTTACTAAGGGGCATGAAGTTTTGATCATCTCTGAAAGGAAGCAAATGAGCTCCCTGCTAGAATTAGAGGATAAAGTATCAGTGTGATTGTTTCTTGGCTGGCAGGGAAAAAGTAGAAAGCAGAAGCTCTAAAAGCACTGGGCTTTGATACCGTTATCATTTTTGTCACCTTTATATGTAGATGATGTCATCATCATTCATCTGTACCTTGATTCCACGGGAGTAAATCAGACACAGGATAGTAAATAGCAGAGTTTATGCAAAACACAAATACAGACTACCACATTGTTCCATGGATTTAACACCACACACCTGGTGTTTTGTCTTTTTCTGTTTTTGAAACAGAAAAAGACATTCAATGTTTAAAATAGTAATCTCTACTCACTCTTTTTGCTGGAGGTTCTCAACGGTAAAATGGTAAAACATATACTTCAAAAGAGCAAGGAATGCAATGGAAGCTTAAAACATGTTGAAGGCTACTCTTTCTTCCAAAATGCCAGAAGCTAGATAATTCAGGATTGCTTTCTTGCTTATGTACCAGCACTGGAGTATAAACCTTAAGAAATGTCTGAGAAACCGATTTTTCTTTTGTTTATTTTTTTAAAAAAATTTTTTTTATTTACTTATGATAGTCACACACACAGAGAGAGAGAGGCAGAGACACAGGCAGAGGGAGAAGCAGGCTCCATGCACCGGGAGCCCGATGTAGGATTCGATCCTGGATCTCCAGGATCGCGCCCCGGGCCAAAGACAGGCGCCAAACCGCTGAGCCACCCAGGGATCCCCCGATTTTTCTTTTGAAATACCATCTTTTTTTATCCAATTCTTCTTTTTTTACACATGCTCTGATGCAATCTTCCTTAACAAGACATGCTTTTATTGGAGTTGCCTTGATTTCAGTTGTTTGTATACATGTACTTGTACTTTCAGATACATGTTTTTGATAACATGACAACTATCTGGAGAAAAGAGTCAAGGCATAAGAAGAAAAAGGGTTTCAGCATTTTATGTTTTTCAGGATTTGCAATCCTCAAATAATAAAAGCAAAATGTGTGCTAGCCCTTTTGAATACACTTAACATCATGTTATATTTAAAATATGTTAATCATAAAATTAAAATTGGTTTGAAATATTTATCTCATGAAAATTAGAGACTGGAAGTGTTCTAAAGAATTTTTAAAATTATACAGCATTAAATTTATTTAATGTGTTTGAAACACTAGTGAATAATAACTATGAGATATGTTTGTCAAGTTTAAAGACTCGGTGGTGGTGATTGCTTTTGATTATTACAAGAATCTACAATGTTAAATCAGGAGATCAGCTTTGAGACTCGGAAGAAAAAGTAGAGGAAAGAACATTGTTAAATGCTATTGCAAGTTTAATAAATGTCTAAGAGTTTTTTAAAAAAGAAGAAAACTTGGTACTTTTATTTTCTTATTTTTATTTGAGAGAGAGCAGGAGGGAGAAGGGGGGGGAGAGATAAGTCAACTCCGTGCTGAGCATGGAGCCCTATGCAGAGCTTGATCTCATCACCCTGAGATCATGACTTGAGCTGAAATCGAGAGTCCACACTTAACCAACTGAGCTACCCAGATGCCCCCCAAATTAGATACTTTTAAAGTAAAAAAAAATTACAACTAAGATTAATCATCCAGATAGAAAAATACATTAAGAAAACACAAGACCAAAGCAAAATAACCAAATTAATTTAAAAATATGAAAATTGACTGAATTAAAAGTGAGAAGCCACCAAACTTCAATCATAGCCATGTCATACAGAGAATGATATTTGTATAAATACCACAAACAAAAGACAGGAAAGACTAGTCCTGTGTTGGGCTTTGTGCTTAGCACAGAGTCTGCTTGGGATTCTCTCTCTCCCTCTGCCCCTTGGCCCTGCTCTACAAATCAATAAATAAATAAATAAATAAATAAATAAAATCTTTTAAAAAGATCTTTTTTAGTTAAGTCTGAGATGGTAAATATCACACTTCTACTTAATAATTTAATTTTGAAAATTAAATAACAGAAATGTGGTTAACTGCATAACCATGACTTGCCTCTAATAAGTGAGCTTGATAGCTTCAACCCTGAGATATTTCTCGTATGTCTTGACTGATCTTTTGATTAAAAATATTTTTCCTTGTAAGAATTTATGTGGCAACACACACACACACACACACACACACACACACACCCCAAATAAAACCTTGACCAGAGCAAGATAGTACTTCATGATAGAAAATAATTTTTTAATCCTGAAAATTATAGATAGATTAGTATTTGAAAAGATATGAATTTTTTTTAATTTTTTTTTATTTTTTTAAGATATGAATTTAAAAGAGCAAAGTTCAAGCATAGAAAAAAAAGGTATGTGTGCATTAAACATAACTCATTCCTGTGATAAATTTACAAATAATCTAAATCCTTTTATGATAAAGCAAGCATATGAAAATAGAATAACAGTTCAATCTCAAAAAAAAATTGAAGTGTCACACATGACATCATTTTATCAAGCTAAAAAAACGTTACTGGTGACATAGTACAGAATTACCTTGGTGACTCAGGTGGCTGAGGCTACAAGACCTAACCTGTGATTAAGTCCAGTTCAGGTTGTCAGTATCTCTCACTAGACACGTCCGTCCTGTTTTCTTCAAATCCATGTTCCAGGATGAATTATTTAAAACTCAAATCTGACAAGGAGCATCATATGATGCATCAACTAGCCATCTAATAGAATCAGTGATGTGGCTAAACAGAGTGTGGATCTCTGCTTTACACTCATGTCCTGTTAGAGAGCATTTATTCATGATACCAGCTCTTTTGGTTTTTCTTTTTCAGCACTGATGAGCCCTTAGTTATGCTGAAGCCAAGCCCTAAGCTCATTCCAAATCTGGCTAAAGACAATTGTGACTTTTTGGCAATTTTGATGAAGCATGGGCAATTCTGACAGGCACATGTGTGGTGGGGACAGGGCGTTGTAGGCCTCTCTAAACAAGTAACATTTACATATCTTTTCCTCACCTGTAAAATGGAAATAATGTTAGTCCTGTCTACTTCACGGGGATGTTAGGGAACTTTATGTGAAATTAGGATGTATGTTAAAAGTCTTTATAAATCCTGCAGTGCAGAGCAAATTCAAGTAACTATCAGAAATAGTAGATTTATAACTGCGATACAAGAGGAATAACAAGCAGAAATGAAGGCTAATTATGAGAGTCTATCAGGTCCCTGGCTAACTCTAAGACCTTATTTTGTCACCATTACCACTCTCTCCAGTCATATTGGTATTCTTTGTCTTCTTTGAACCAAACTTGTTTTCACACCCTACCTTTGTACTTAACTCTCATCTCTACATGGTTAGCTACTCTCCTGGATCCTTGTATGGCTTCTCATCATTTGAGTTTCAACTCTACTGATACCTTCTCATAAATGCCCCCCATCAATATCTAAGATCATTGTGCCACTGCCCTACTCCACTCCAATCTCATGTGATCATTATTTTAACATTTATTATCAAAATATCTTATTTCTTCTCTTAGCTGTTCATGGATAAAGTCACCACTATGTAAAAGCACTGTGCCCTTCTTTGGAAGGAGGACCTGAGTGACCAAGCAGTCTGTCACTAAGCAAGATCAAACTGCCAGCATTCCGGATGACAGGAAGTTCGTGGTGACCTTGTCAAATCAGAGAAATGATCAGTTGGAAACCTGACTTCCAGAGGAAAGAAGTGGGGAAAGGAAACACACAAGGACAAAAAACACTGAATAGACTCAGGACAAACTGCCCTTTTTTTTTTTTTTTTTTTTTGCTTTGCTCTCATATTTAAAAGAAGTTGGAACTGGCCTAACATATTAAGCAAAAATAACAGTTTGGAGAAGGATACCTTGTTCTTGTCAGTACCCTGCAACCTAAATCCTATGAAAAAATAGATAAAAGTATCCTGAACAGATGAAGCTGACAATTTTCCATATAATACATTTGGATAAGTGAAGATATTCTCTTAAAAATTAAATTCAGGGCAGCCCTGGTGGCTCAGTAGTTTAGTACCGCCTTCAGCCCAGGGCATGATACTGGACACCCAGAATCAAGTCCCATGTCTGGCTCCCTGCGTGGAGCCTGCTTCTCCCTCTGCCTGTGTCTCTACCTCTCTCTCATTCTGTGTCTCTCGTGAATAAATAAATAAAATCTTAAAAAAAACAAATTCAAAATGTGTGTATTTATTGTTTAGGTAACTCGTTTGCCTATAATTCCCATTCTATAGCATATGAAATGTTAATTTAAAATATTCTCTCTTAATCTCATCCTCTATGGTACACTTATTTGTTCTCATTCCCCAACATCCTCTTTCTAAAAGTGTGTTTTTTTTTTTTTTTAAAGTAAGCTTTGTGCCCAATGTGGGTCTTGAACTCATAACCCCACGATCAAGAGTCACATGTTCTACTGACTGAGCCGGCCATGCACCTCTGTCTTCACTTTTGAGACACTTAATTCCCTTCCAGTCACTATTTACATACCTGCCCTATAACTCATTCTCCAAGGCCCTGCTTTCAGCTTTCAGCAGATCTCTGTTTGGTGTTTCTTCTAAATTCCAATTCAGAATTATATATAACCCTACTATGACACTTAAAGAAGTGCATGATTATAACTGTATATGTCTGTCTCTCTCATTAGATTCTATTTGTATTACCAAATATGTAGTCCCAGTGTTTGCTTACTACAAAGCATAGCAGGCATTCAGTAAATGCTTTAATTTTATACTTTCCCATGCTGCTAATATTTTTTTTAACCATTGCCCATATGCTACTTTATTACTACTGTTTAAATGTCAACACAGGTGGGATTGGGAACATTTGTTTTTGTGTTTTTCTTTTTTTTAAGATTTTATTTATTCATGAGACACACACACAAAGAGGGAGAGAGAGAGAGAGAGGCAGAGACACAGGCAGAGGGAGAAGCAGGTTCCATGCAGGGAGCCTGACATAGGACTCGATCCTAGGTCTCCAGGATCAGGCCCTGGGCTAAAGATGGCTCTAAACTGCTGAGCCACCCGGGCTGCCCCGGTTTTGTGTTTTTCAATGGTAAAAACTCATACATTCTTTTTAGAAAAAAAAAATCCACAAGTGATGGAGTAAAGAGGCTTTTAAAGAGACTGTAGTGCTTAAGCCAGACAACTGCCAATTTTCCATTTAACTGGAAGGAACTCTAATGAAGAAAATCCCAGCAAATAGATAAATCTATACATAGTTCTATTTTTCTAATTAATTTACTTAGTCATGTGAATAAGAACTATAGAGTGATATGAACACAGACTCTGGAGCTAGGGCCTTACATTTGAATTCTGGCTCTGACACTTGCTAAGCTGATTTGACCTCAGGCAAATTTCTTAATCTTTCTGTGCCTTAGCTTTCTCATTTGTAAAATGGGAGTAATGTACCTAATAACACAGTGTTGATCTGAAGATATACTCAACAAATATTTATTTAGGACATATTACATACCTGGCTCTGCTCTTGATATAAGCTATCAAATATGAAAGAAAAAAAGGACAAACTCCTCCACAGAGTTTGCATTCCAGTTAGCAAGATAAACATAAATACACATCTATGTGTTAGTAATAAGAGCTAAGGAGAAAAAAAAAAGGGGAGGAGAAGTAGAGGGATATGAACTGTTGAGGGACGGGTGAGATTTGAAATTGTAGACAGGGTGGCCAGGGAAAGTCACACTGCAAAGTCAGCTTCTGGATACAGACTAATGAAAGTGAGGGGGCCAGCAGCATCAGTGTCTAGGTGGGTCCTGCAAGGCAGAGGCAACAGTAATTGCAAAAACTTTGAGAAAGAAGCATGTCTGGTGGGTTGCAGGGGCAGCAAGAAGGCTGGTGTAGTTGAAGTGGAGTGAGCAAGGAGATTATAGGCACTAGATGTGTATGTGCATGGTGCACACTTGCGCTGATGCAGGAGGGTGATCAGATGGGGCTCTGTGTGCTGCTTCAGCTTCTGAAGAGAAACAGGAGCCCTTGAAGGGGTTAGGTACAGAATGAGATGGGTGTTTTAGCATACTGCTCCAGCTGTCTTACTGAAAGCTGACTGTCTGGGAGTGGGGCAGAAGGAGGGGGTGGTGGGAAAGTTGGGAGGTTTTGCAGGGGAGAACAGCAAGAGCAGAGGGAAGGAGACCAGTCAGGAGACAACACTAGTTAGACTGCAATGGTGGTCAAAAGATGATGGAGGATGGACCTAGAAGGAAGCAGTGCACGTACTAAGACCTGGCTGGATTCAGGATCTATGTCGAGAATACAGTCAATAGGATCTCTGGGCTGATAAGATACAAAACCAAAGAGGAAAAAGAAGAGTCTAGAATTACACCAATATTTCTTGGCCTGAACATCTACAAAAATGGTGCTTCTATGAACTGAAATGCTAATATAGCTTCACGTATGATTTTTACCATTATGCCAAAATGTACTAACATGTTAATTAGTTAATATATTTAGAGTGACTTAATATCAAGTCACTCCTATGTAAATGTTTACTGTTATTACTAATAATTGGGATGAGAAAAATTTTAAATCCAGTATGTTATTAATGAGAAAATGTTCATGTTACAACTTTTGGTTTTTGGAAATTAAATGTATGAAATGAGAATTTGGAAGACTCTCCATTGGCACAGACAGTATAAGAAACATAATTTTCAAGTAACAACCAAATTCTATCTTCTTCAGTTCCCCTTCACCTGCAAGTGCCTCTAATACATTACTTCTTTTTTTTTTACTCTTGCCTCTTGAAAGTATCCCTATCAACAACAACAATAACACACACACATTACCTTTTAAAATGAGTCTGTGTATTATACTCATTATAGCAATGGAATTTATATTAAGCGGTATTATTATAATACCATTGAGATATCCTGTGTTTTGAAGAAACAGCAATGACATTTATTTTTTACGATTATGTTCCTAAAACTGTGAAAGCCAATACAAGTATTAGAAAATGCTAAAATGCATGCAAATATCCCAACTGGTTCAAACCTAAAGTGCTTTTGGTTTTCATGCAATAGTACCTATGTTTATCTGTGGAGTTCATTTCTCATTGGTGAGTTGTAGATGAAATTTCAAGCTAAAAATATTTGAAGCCTTTTTTTTTTAATGGCAGGAAAAGGGTCCTGGCTATGGAAATAACTATGTAACTAATCCTATTTGGTTCACTGATTTTATATCATTTCCCCCTTATGCATATCTGGAACCAGAGTGAGACCCTTTCCACAATTACTATTACAATTTGTAGTATTTTTCCCAGTAGGCATTAGCTTATACCTACAATTTTCTTTTGGTGGAGGGTAAAGCCCTATTAAAATGTATGTTGGGGATCCCTGGGTGGTGCAGCAGTTTGGCGCCTGCCTTTGGCCCGGGGCACGATCCTGGAGACCCGAGATCGAATCCCACGTCAGGCTCCCGGTGCATGGAGCCTGCTTCTCCGTCTGCCTGTGTCTCTGTCTCTGTCTCTGTCTCTCTCTCTCTCTCTCTCTCTGTGACTATCATAAATAAAAATTTAAAAAAATGTATGTTGATGTGCAAATTCCATTTTAGTTAAAGTCTTTCTGTATAACAGGACTTGGTAATGAAATAACATGGGGGACCAACAAATAGACAACAAATCAAGGTTCGGTTGCTTTGACAAGACCAAGAGACTGAAACAAACAAATGCAGAAAGAACACTAATTGCTGGCAACCAACCCACCCACCCCACCCCACCCACTTCCACCACGGTTTCCTCTGAAAGACAGGGGCATTAGGCAAAATCCTTTGTCATATCAAAATCCTTTGTCATATAGCGATTCAAAAAGCCACTGTTAAACATACTTACGTTATGTTATTTTTTTCTGAAGCCAAAGCCTTACAGTAATTTACAGATCAATTTGTCTCTTAAGTGGAAGGAATAAAAATAGGAAAGGAATTTGGGAATCTAAGTAACCTCTTTTATTTTTAATGTCACGGAGGTGCTGTGGGCTGTGGTTCTGCTAATTCAATAAAGGATACAAGCTCTCTGAGCCTGGCACACATTCAGGACTGGGATTCAAAATAACTAGAGCTCTGATCATTGGAAGTCCTCTGGAGACAGATTTCACAATGCTTCTTGTGATCCAGTGAGTTAGGGGTCCTATCATTATTTCCAGTGATAATTAAAATGCAGAACTTATTACTCTCTAGTTTGGGGCAAACTCTTGAATTTTCCTTCTTTCATCTTCCTAACTTTCCACTTGCACATAAGTTCATCTAATAATGTTTTAATTTAATGCTGATGCTTAAATTTTATAAACAAACAGTACTTCATGGTTTTTAAAGTGCCCTCATATACATTTCATATTCAATATTTTTACTGGTTCATTTTTTTTTACAAATTGTCCTACCAATCCTACGATGAAGACATTATTCATATTATTTCTGTTCTTTGGATGGACAATTTGAAGTTCTGAGAAAAATTACCGGATCGCTAAGTACTCACAGTTTTAAGGAGCAAAATGCTAACTTGAACCTAAGCCCTTAGTCTTAAAACAAACTTGTATTCTTGCCATTTTGTTACAGTTAAATTTTGGTCATTAATTTACTAATAAAATTCTCTATTTCCCAGAGGAGTTCAATCAAGACAGTTGGTTCAAGAACAGGCAGCCTCACATTGTGAGGGAATCAGTGAGAAGGAAGTTAGTGAGGAGAGACCAAAATTGGTTATGGATAAGCCACGGAACAAAAAAAGAAGACTCTTAAATTGTTTGAATGTGAAATGCCCAGCTCTCGTCTATTATACAAGTAATAGATCAATCTATATTTTTACTGCCATATTTCATATCTAACACAGCATGTCTTATGAGATGCACCACCAAGAGGGAAAAAAAAGGAAAACTAAACCATAATATACCATTGATCATAAGATACTTTCAGATTTTAAAAAGCTAAAGTGTGAAAAAAAAGAAAAGGGCAGATCTTAGAATCAAAGAAATACAGTATGGTAACTATGAAAGTTCTCAAAATCAGTCATAGCACAACTTTCCCAGACAATCAATAAGCATTTATCAAGTGCCCGTGGATGGGCACAAGGAAGCAAAATACATAATCGAGGTGAAGAAGCTTAAGTGCTATATATGAAATATTAATTACTATCCTTCAGTTTCACAA